CTACTCAAATATACCGCGCATGAAGCCATACTCTGCCATAGCGCCTTTACGAAATGGCTGCCAGAACACAACCCGACCGCAAGGATCGTCATAGGAAAGTTCACACAGGGCGCCAAAGAAGGTGAAAAACATATGCAGCGGCGCTTGATAACAGACGAAGGCGAACTAAGTTTCCTTGTTAAGCGAGCGCATGAGCAAGGTACGATAGTGTCTACGGAGCGCTGGGACCATTTCGTAGAAAACGAGGGCATGCATGAATGGAACACCTTATGTTACTATCAGGATCATCGTCCGCAGTATTACCACCTACGTGCCAGCATGCTTGCTTACGCGCATATCAATCTGCTAACGATGCTCCTACGTTTTGACAAAGACGACATACCCCGCGTAGCTACGGATTCTTTGTACATCAAGCCCGCAGTCTTGGAGCAAATGCAAGGATACTACACGGAAGACGAAATAGCTGAAAGTGGGCAGTGGCACGTGAAAGACGAGGAGATCAAAGCCTGGAGAGAACGTGTGGAATACCATGGAGACCACGTAAAGGGGTCAGTAACTCCGACCAAGGAACCACTTCCTTCAGTTGTGGATCCAATTTCCTACCAACGCTTCTCTTACCTTTACGGTACCGGCGGCAGTGGTAAAACTACGCGCGTGTTGGAACTCTTTCCCACGATAAAGGTGCTAACTCCAACGCACCGCTTGGAAAGGGAACTGCAAGAAATGGGTTACGACGCGCAGACCTACCATAGTTTCTTCCGTTGGAATAGACAAAAATGGGTACCGGAAGCGATACATGACATACCTCCGGTGATACTTTGGGATGAGATTTGCACCGTGCCTTTGGAAATACTCAAAGAGTTCGTAGAGTTCCTCCGTGGAAAGTGTCAAGTAGTATTCGCAGGCGACCCATGCCAGCCGCCTCCTATAGCAGGCGAAATGCCCCACGAATGGCTAAAGGGGTTCGTAGATCATGCGGGGGAAATTAACACAGATTACCGCAGCAAGGATCAAGTAAAAAACCTGAAAGCGGAATTGAGAGGCCTTAGCGACGAGCAACAATGTAAGGTGTTACGCAAACGCGTACGAGCGAAGTCCTACGAGGACTTCCTTTACGCATGGCATCCAAAGGATTTGGTGTTGAGCAGCAAACGCGCAGCGCAAGCAAGGATACAAAAGGATTTGTTAAATATACACCGAGAACGGTTTCCTGCGCATTTGGTACCTGTTTGCTACAAGCCCCGCGACACCCGCATGCAAAGAAGAGAC